GGCCACACAACCATGAAAAATGTCTTTGGACATCACTGACTCCCTTAGCCATGAAACAGGGATGAGCATTGTGCCCTATAGCAGACATGACTGCATAGGGAAACCTTTTTATTACATTCAATAAATACACTCAATGTGCTCCAGGTGTTTTGGAGTTCTGTTCTCAATTGCTTCACCCATTGGATCCAAAATATCCGAAACATCCTGTTTTATACAGAACTAGCCGATAGCCTGGCGTTATCCGGGTATTTATTTATAGGGGGAAAATGTCCAGACCAAATGTAATTTCTAATGTTGGACATTCCCTCTTACCAGAGGGAGCGCCCTTGTGGAGTATTGTGAAACCATTACCATGGCAACTACACTGTGTTGCTGTACAGTACAAGCCATTTTACGGCAGTACAGTCGAAGCCATTTAAAGGCACAACAGGCTGCATCTTAACAGAACACACACCCCGAGGGGTGTTAGGGGTGTCTTACCCCCCACAATATTTGTTTCCAGAGAGTAAGTCATCTGTGTACCAAGTTTGGTTGAAATTGCTCAAGGCGTTCCAGAGTTACGTTGGAACGAACACACACACACACACACACACACACACACACACACACACACACACACACACACACACTTTATATATATAGAGATTTGTCCACCTCCAATTCACATTAATCAACCCAGCCAATCTCACAGCAGATCCACACACACCCCTGTGTGTCTATGCACAGCTTACCTAGTGTTGGCACAGTCGACTTGGCCTTTGTCCTTCAGATGTGATATTTCATAGTATCGATCTCAAGCATCCATAGTAATTGTGACCTACTGGCTGGCCTTGTTTATTTTTATTTGCACTGCGGCTATAATTACTTGCCCAAATGTTAATCTATTAATGAGTTCCTAAAGGACTTAATGGCATTTCTCTGCCAAGAGGAACGTTTGTCAGTTCTTTCGGAACATTGGAAATTTTATTCACAGTTTGTTTCCAAACTTCTTTGCCATCAGACGGGCAGGCTGTGAGGCAGGGCATTAAATTCCTGATGGAAAAAAAGGAAGCAGAAAACTACAGAATAAATGTGCCAGTCCAAGATTTGGTTTGAGGGTCAAAAGCAGGACACAAACGTCTGATTTTTATGGGGAAAAAGAATGAGCATGAAAACTATCAACACGTTTTTTTTAATCTCATGAACGAGATGGCCTCATGACTACGGTATCTTTTCAGTTCTTTTGGCCATCTCAAAGGGAATTGAGAAGATATGATAGAATTTTTTAGCAAACTTCTAACCCAACGCTGAGATGGGTGGCTGGAGAAACCAAATCAAACCAAATCGATAAATAAATACTGTATATTTGCTCAATATTCACAGACCTAGCATTGCTCAAAATGTTTGGCTCGGTATTCACAAGTTTAGCCTAAGACTTTGTATTTAGTGGGTTCGAATCCCTAGTGCCATATATCGGAGAGAGTTCTCCTTATTTGTCCAAGCTTCTGCCAACCTAGCAGTTCGAAAGCACATAAAACTGCAAGTAGAAAAATAGGAACCACCTTTGATGGGAAGGTAACAGCGTTCCGTGCGCCTTTGGCATTTAGTCATGACGGCCACATGACCATGGAGACGTCTTCGGACAGCGCTGGCTCTTCAGCTTTGAAACAGAGATGAGCACCGCCCCCTAGAGTTGGGAACGACTAGCACATATTTACAAAGGTAAAGGGGAAGTTTTACCTTTACCTTTTATGAAGCCAATGTCTTCAGAAATCCTTTTCTATTTTAAATTAACAATCAGCGGTGTAGGCAGAGGGAGGAATTATTGATACATTTTTCCAAGAATTATTTAATCCGATTAGCAAAAATGGTTCCCCTTATTTGGTAGATTTTGAACCGTGGAGGAGGCTAAAGACAAGATCATTCACGTGTACAATATGCTGAACTACGCCCCATCCAAAGAGTCTTTTATAGAAATCGACACATACAGTATATCTACGTGTCTTGAAAAATTACCCTACTTTCAGCATCAATTAGTCTTTAATACCAGCTGTTCGCTTACTAATTTCCCTGCATTGTGACCATTTCTCACCAAGTTGTTAATTGCCACCTGCTCAGATAAACAACAACAACGAAACAAGTTAACAGAACTTCAGACGACCCTGATACACAGTCAATCACAAACAAAATACAAGTAATTTGGAAAGGTGCTTCCTGATCATTACTTTATAATGTTCAGACTCTTACTGTGTTCCTAGGGAAGTGGAACACCTCTGTCAGTCCATGAATATACAGAAACATGCAGAAGGACTGGAATAAGCTATATATCAGGAATATCCAACCTTGGCAATTTTTAGGGTTTGTGGATTTCAACTCCCAGAATTCCTAGCCAGTCATGGGAATTTTACCCAGGGGTGAAATTCGACCGTTTCTATCCAGTTTGGGTGAACTGGTAGTGCTGGGAGGCTCCGCCCACCCACCTGAACATCAGCATGTTCTGGTTTTCATGCTCTGTGCATGCACGGAAGGTCCTGAGCATGCACAAAGGTGGAACGTGCATGCACTCACATTTGCGAGCCAGTAGCGAAGGTAAATTGATTTCACCCTTGGACACCACATACATACATACATACATACATACATACATACATACATACATACATACATACATACATCCTTAGATACTGCTGGTATACAAATCCCATCAACTTTGACATACATACATATACATACATATACATACATATACATACATATACATACATATACATACATATACATACATATACATACATATACATACATATACATACATATACA